TGGTAGCATATTTTTCACAAAAATATTTCAAGGGTGTTAGCACTCCACTAGATCCTAAATGCATATGCAATGAGTTAGAGCATCTAGTGGCACTTTGATAACCATATTTCGATACGAGTTTCACCCCTCTTAATAGTACGACTATCGAACGTAAATGTGATCATACTCGCTAAGTGTCTTGATCACCGAAACGAAATGGCTCCTACCACTTATACTTTTGCCTTGAGCCTTTTGTTTTTCTCTTTTTTCTTTTCAAGTCCAAGCACTTGATCATCACCATGGCATCACCATCATCATGTCATGATCTTCATTTGTTTCACCACTTAAAATGTGCTATGTATCTCATGATCACTTTGATAAACTAGGTTAGCACTTAGGGCTTCATCAATTCACCAAAAAAAACTAGAGCTTTCAATAGTTTAGATGCCCATTTCTTCTACAAGCATAGCATATACGGTCTTTGTTTACTCTATGCTTGTTTTGTTTGTATGGACATCTATCAACCTTGTGGCCCATCTCATTGCATCCATAGCATCTTCTTGTTGCAACTTGGGCTTCCTTTCTTGCCTCTTTGTACATTGGGCATTTCTTGGTAGGATGCCCCAATTTCTTGCACATAAGACAAAGCGCTTTGTCCATCACTTTTCTTTTGGTTGGCCAACTTGTTTGAGGCCTTTTGTTCAGCCGCTTCACACTTGTTGGCCCAACTCTTATGTGGACACATAGCCCACTCATGTCCATATAATCCACAACCATAGCATAACCTTTTTCCATGTTTCTTGCTCTTGGTTGTGTTGGCCTTGCTTGAAATGTGATTCTTTTGTTGGGCTTTGGAGGAAGCAAGGTTTGAACCCTTCTCAAGCTTCTTCATCATGTTATCACGATTATCTTGAGAAGGTTGTGCTTTCTCCTTACCCTTCAACCGAATCACATCTTTCTTTAATCTTTCCACCTCTTCTTTGAGCTCTATGTTTTCTATGAGATTTAGCTCAATTGAAGATTGGCTTGCTTGAGAAGCACACTCATTAGTACAAGAAATATTTAATTGAGATGGTGTACTAGTGAGTGAATGTGTGAGAGGTTGAGAAAATTTTACTGATGTGATCACAACCTCATGAGTCACCTCAAGCATGATGCTTGATTCTACTACTTCCTCATGAGAGCACTTTAAATGAACATAGTTTGCTTGTAGCACATTATACTTGCTTGATAATTCATCTAGCCTTGCCTTGAGCTCAAAGTTTTTCTTCTCTAGTTGTGAAACACTAGAAGAGGAGTTAGTAACTAAAGCATGCTCAATTGACAATTTTTCATACCTCTCATTGATTTTCTTTAGTTCTTCTAACTTGGAGATGAGAAACATTTCTTGCCATTGAAGTGATTGCTCTTGCTTCTCATTCTCTTCCTCTAGCTCATCATTCTTCTCAACTAGCTTCATGAGGATGAGCTTGTCTTTACTACTTAGATGATCAAGAGTGTAACTATCTTCAATTTCAATATCACTCTCCACTTGATCATCTATTTGTGCTATCTCCTTGGCTTGTTCTTTCTTATTAGTCTTCTTCTTACTTTTCTTGGCCATAAGACACAAGTGATGAGAATCATGAGATACTAAGGTTGACTCATCACTTGGTCACCATCGGTCTTGAGCATCCTTGCAAATAGCTATTTGCTACTCTACTGCCTCGGCCATACTGGACACGTCCGGTAGGGATACCGGACACGTCCGGTATGTGCAAGCAGACAACAGATCATGTGCTGCTTGCGCTTCTTGCTCCGGCTCGACGCTCTTGAGGTCTTGTGAGGCTTCTTTGCTGCATGAAGACACAACGGACAACTTTCCATTGACTCGAGCTCATGTGCATCATCACATTTGGATTTTCCATATAACTCAATGAGTCTAGTCCAAATGAGATGAGCACTCTCTAGAGGTGGTTGTCCATTGAAGATTACCTCATCTTGAACCTCTGCACTCAATGTACTCAAAATGATATTAATTGCTTGAGCATTGAGTTGTACGCATATCTCTTCCTTTTTGATAGATTTTTGTAGTTACTCCAATCAACTATAGGAAGAGGTATGCTTACATACACAATATGCTCAACAAGAGGATTAATAGTTCTAAAAATATTGAGTACATAAATTGACCAAGGTAGAAAATTTAAACCATCATTCTAGAGAGGCACCGGCTCCAACTCGATAGGCGTCGACATCCTTTTCTCACGGCGGTGAAGCTTTAGGTGAGTTCTGCTCCGATACCACTTGAAAGGACCTAAGATGCCACCTAGAGGGGGGGGTGAATAGGCGTTTCTGAAAATTAACATCTTTAGATGTGGAAGCGATTAGTAATGGGAAACTCCAAATAAGAGTAATATCATCCCTCACAAGTTAGCCACAGAGTATGTAAAAGATACTAAATAAATCTAGAGAGCCAGACACCTACAACCACAGAGTATGCGAATTGAGACACAATATTTGTTTTATCGAAGTTCGGACTCATTTGAGTCCTACTCTTCGTTGAGGGGGCTATAGGCGACCCAACGAAGGTCAGCCCTAGCGGGTACCATGAAGGTCGCTCTAGCCAAGTCTTTTCAAACTTCTTTTCCTCCTTCCACTAGTTGATTCCTTCCTTTGCGGCGGCGGAATCAACCGTTACAAACTTTTCGAGGCACACCACAATATCTCGGGTGCTCTCCGGTGACGCCTAGCCATCTAGGACCGAAGAGTCCAAGAGTAACAAATGCAAATCATGAGATTGATAATATGCACAAGTGCTCAAGTGGTTGGATTGCTCTATTTTTTGAATTCTCTCTTAACCCACAAATGGATTTGGCAATTGGGATGAATCACTCACTAAGAGAGGGTTGGAGAGTGTTTGCAAGGCTCAAAAACTGTGCTAGAGGATCAATAGAATCAGCAGCCTCCAAAGGTGGAGGCTTGAAGGTAGTTATAGCTTCCTTGGAAAAACTAGCCGTTTTCTAGCCATTGCCATACCGGACTACATCCGGTATGACTTGCACTAGCGCCAATGGTCACTGAGTTAAAGTATGTGAGGTGTCGGAACTCCCGACGCTTTCTGGGACTTCCGATTGTCGGAACTCCCGACCAACTCAAGTCAAAACTCCCGACCCTCAGCTCATTTGAAAACTAGCCGTTAGGCCCTGGTTGGCCATACCGGACACATCCGGTATGATCAGGACAATGAACTCTCAAGTCAGTAAGGTGTCGGAACTCCTGACGCTTTCTGAGACTTCCGACCCCTGGAACTTCTGACACATGTTAGGACTTTCGACACACAACTCTTCCAAAGCTACAGAGACAGAAAAGTGCACACCCCAAATACCGGGCATGTCCGGTATGTCCGGTATGCACGGCTACTGTGTAGAGAGTTAGAATCTCTTGTCTCTCTCACTCAAATCTCATATAGGTTAGCTTGAGCACTTATGAATAATCATCTATCAATATGATGCATCCCTCTTAATAGTATGGCGTTCCTATAAACTCAAGATTAAAAGGAAAAACAAGATTGTACCGCTTGAGTTGATTTCTTCTAAATTGATGCCGTCTCTTTCAATCTTCATCAAGCGAGGGTGCCAACATGTCGATATTGATCTTTTAACTTGAGCATAGCCATCTTGAGCACGTGACTTGATTCCATTCATCAAATATGAATAACTCCAAATGCATCAAGTCACTTCCATCAACTTGTCTATAGATTTGATCCTCCACATCAATATGACCTTCATAGCTTGATTAGTACATCAACTAAATGCAAGTGCTTTCTTCTTCACTCTAGTTAGGTTCTTCGGCCGTCAAGCTGTCGCTTGCCCTTCACCCCTACTTCGTTCCTCGAAGCCTTTCCCTGCTATCTTCACCATCTCAAGCCATCAAGTCACACCTTGTGTTGAATCATACAATGAATTCCATAGAACACCATCAATCATTGATATCCCACCATAATTAAGTCTTTGCATGAATTACATTTACATTGTTATCTTGTGCTTGAACTAGACTGCTTATACAACAACACATCATTTTAGCTTCATTAAGCATCTGTGAGGTAACCAATTTCCTGTTTCACATTCAGAGAAAATATTAGATCTTTAATCGTGTTGTCATTCAATCATCCAAAATCCACTAAAGGGTTAGATGCACTTTCACCATCCATGAGTGCCACCTAGCTCCTTTCAATTAGATTGGACCAACCTATCTCAAATCCACACTTAGAGCATAGGGTTAGTCTAAATATGTTTCATCAATTAGTCAAAATTAAACTAGAGCTTTTTCAGATGGTAGGGATGGAGGGGGGGGGCGCCATGGCCGTCGGGGTTGGGGGGAGCTTGGTCGCGGGGGTGAGAGAGGGCGCGGAAGAGCCACTTTCTGCACAGAGGGCGCCACCTTCATGGATCTTGCCGAGTGTTGGGAGAGCTTCGCTTCCGGGGCCAGATGTCATGTCGGTGGGGGGAGGAGAACGCCGGGGAGGGGGGCGCCGGCCATGGAGACAGGCCACGTGTCGGGTGGGCAGGTCAGGAGCGCAGAAGGGATAAGGATGGGGAGAGAGAAAGTGAGGGATAAGATTTTTTCTTGAATGTGCGCAAAAAGGGGAGTGAGTGAGTCAGTGGGAGGCGTCCCATCTGCACGCTTTTAATTATATCATTATTGTTTTTATATCGTTTTATAATAGCTGAGGGAGTTCAAATGTTTGGTTGGAATTTAAATTCAGACCTAATAATAATTGAATAATAATTGAAGGGCGTAAGACATCTTTTTACTCACTTTTTTTTTTTTGAGAGGATCTTTTTTCCTCACATGTACGACAGGCAGTTGCATTTGGCCATTTGGGCCTCTCCACGTCCAAGCAAAGAAAGACGGCCCATTGCCCCGGAATTATTACCGTCGGTTGGTCCTCGTCTCCCTCCGCTGTCCGACTGTGCCTGTCGCCGCTTCTGTGCTCTCCCCCTCCCTCTCCGGTGAGAGGCGAATTGAATCGCATCGAATCCATGGGCAGTTCCTCGAATACCAACACGAGCGGCGGGGCCAGCGACAAGGAGGAGAAGAAGGAGGACAAGGTCAAAGGCAAGGACTCGTCGGAGCCATCCTTCAAGGAGAACGAAAGGATCCTCGCCTACCACGGCCCGCTCCTCTACGAGGCCAAGGTTCTCCGTTTCTTCCCCTTCCCTTCCTGGCCCTAGGATGACGACCTCTTACTGGATGCTAGATACTCTCACTTGTTACGCTTGTGTTGTGCTCTGTTCGTGGATCCTTGTTAGGGTTAGGATACCATCGGGCCGGCCCGTCGGTCGATTCGATTCACTTCCCCCCTACATACATTGTGCTAGCTGTTAAGGTTTAGGCTTTATATCACTCACATCCCATCAGATCTATTCATGTTCCTTCTCTTCTTCCTTTGCTTCTTCAATTCACTGTTCTATCCCATTTCTCAAGGTCCAAAGGATCGAAAATCATGAAGATGAATGGCGCTACTTTGTCCATTACCTCGTAAGTCTTAATTCACTCCATTGTGCAAGTATTCTTAAAGGCATTGTTCCTCATTCTTTCATACCTTAGCCATTCAGATATTTCTTACTCATATAAATCTGCTTATACCTGGCAATTTGTGCTGTTCTCTAATTCTTTGCCACTTCTCTTGTAGGGTTGGAATAAGAAGTAAGTGTTTCATACTCCATGAATGGATGGATGTTAGATAAGTCTTCCATGTTTCTCCCCCACATTCGTACATATATCTTTTGTGGTATTTCCTAGATCCCTACTCCATGGTGATAAAACCCCAATGGATTGTTGCTGTGCTTGTTCTAGCTCATCAGATGGTTGTGTCCATTTTATAAATGCTGACGTACACTGAACCAGTTTGTTTCAGAGATTTGACACTACACACTGCTCATTTCTCAGCCATGAGCCAGTGATACAGTTAAACCAGACGCCTTTTCATTTAACGAAATATATTTTCCTTAAAATAATATGATTTATTGTTCTATTGGTCTGCCACTGATTAACACTGCCTATGTAAAATGTCTTACAAGTTATGATTCGTTGAGCAAGTTTTGATCTACATGTTGTGCCTCTGCATTATGTGAACTTTGTTATGCCCAACCATTTTTTATGTATAATCACTTATAGTCTCTGCTTGGGTTGATTACCATCTGGCGAATATTCCCTAATTCTGCCTTGTCTTGTGATTTAAATAGAGTTATCACCTATATTGAAGTATCTATACTACAAGCAACATATTACAGTCATGATAATTTTTTTGTTAATTTTGAGACAGAAGGGTAAACACCCCTTCAATTTTTCATATTAAAGTGGATTGATATGAACTAGCACAATAAAGACAGAGAACATTAATAAAACCTGTAGCTACTGAAGCCATCAGACTACCAAATGACTTGATATCACACAATGCCACTGGATGGCCAATGTTTACATGAATAGCATTATTACAACATAGTATGAACTCTCTCACCAATAGATCAAACCAAACATGATCCAACCAAACTTCCTTGTACCAGAAACTGAAAAAAATCTCTGATAGTTGACCCTCCTACAATGGTGCCCAACCTTGTGACATGTCGCATCGTGAGTCTTTGGTCTCTGAGCTCAATCAGGCAACATTCCTTGCCCTCCTTGTTTCTGCAACAAAGACCATAATTTAAACCAATAACACAAACTGAAAATAGTCTGTATAGGGTCAGTAGAGAATTGATGTTTGAAACAAGCTCCTCAATTTCCACAATGTCCAAATTAATACTGAATTTCTAATCCCCCAACATTGCCAAATTCCTATGGTCTTTAGAAAAAGCATGTAACCATTTCCCAAGGAAATAATCAATGCAGGTAGGAGCAAGTTTTATATCAAAAGTAAGCACATCACAAACATTTTGTGGCTTCTATGTATCCTATTCCCAGTAGCTATGATGACTAACAGTTACATTGTTGAGTTATTTGTTTCTTTCATAGTTGATTGATGCTCAGATTCTGTGCCTCCTATTTCGAATAGCTGGGGGATTTACCTATAGAGGCTGAGGCAGCTTTTACGTTCATACAGGATATTGTTATTATCTTAGCTGGAGAATTCATTTTATGTTCTTCACATGGTATAGTTTTGGGAGTTGGTCAGTTGGGTCGGGTGTTTGTAGGCTGTGCCTTCTGTTAGATTGTAAAATATGGTCAAACTATTTAACAGATGTGTATAAAAGGTTGGCTCATAGATTTCATTCATTTGGGTCCTTATTAAGCCAAGCCATGGTAAAGCAAACTGTTGTTTTGGCTAAAGATTATGTTGATAAATTGAACATTGTTTGAGTGGATTGCAGAATAGGCTTTGTAAATAAGTCATGCTAGGCTCAAGTTTAGGTGCAGACTGCTGTTGAAGTGAACCACTGTTGTTTTTTAAGGTTAACAAGTAACGAGGGTGTGTGTTGTAAGGGTTTTTGTCCCTTTTTCTTCATAATATAAAGATACTTGCGTGTTCCAGGGAAAAAAGGTTAACAAGTAACTACCATATCTTGGTAGTGTTTCTTATTTGTGAGGTCCTGATTGCAGCTTGCTATTTTGTTGTCATCACACTTAATTAGTTTTCCTTCCCTGCTGTTCTTCCACTAAGCAGACATTCTTCTCAACATATTTAATTTCCATTTTCTTTGTAGCTGGGATGAATGGGTTGCAAATGACCGCTTGTTGGCATTAACAGAGGAAAACATGCGCAAACAACAAGAGCTTGACAAGAACCAGGTAGTTGACAAAACAATGAAGTATGGATGGTCAACACAGCATAAACCAATAGGCTCCAATGGTTAGCTCGCCCTCCCCTCCCCGTGTTGTGTCTTTCAGAATAAAGGGCATTGGTTATGACCAGGTTGATAGATTCTACTCCTGTATATGATACATTGTCTGTTTGTTGTACTGATCCTTTATCTATTAGGATAATCTATCTCTACTATTATGGATAGTTCTAAGATTGCACTCCAGTTAAGTCATAGTTGTGGTAATAGTTCTGTCAAATTATTATCTTCAATTCCTTACTGTCTGGGAGTGTCATGTGCAAAGAATTCATGTCATGTTGGTGCCTAGTTTAGAGTTGAAACAAGAATGGCAAGAATTGTGACAACTTTGCTACAACTGGACATTTTGATCATTTATCATTTACAGATCAAGGTGAAATTGCATGCTGGGGGTTATATAAAGTTAATGTAAAATTATCATCCATTGCTGGAATAATTTTGTGATATAAAGTGAACCACCTTTGATAATAGACAATTATTCATTTTAATTAGTTCTTATCGGAGATTTCTTGTTCATGCTGTTCATCAGTACATGTTTTCTACCTCTTCATGTCTGTTTCTACATGTTTTGTGATCGTACTTTGCTCTTGAAATGTCTTACTAACTTGGCTATTGCCATTGTTGAGCAGATGCAAAAGCTGATAAAGATGACACTAAGAGTCTCAGTGAGTACAAGCTTTTCTTTTATATTGTATTTTTCGTCTGTTACCTTCTGATGGCAGTCAACACATTTATTTTTTTGAGCTATATTGTGTGACTTATCTTTATCATTTTTAAATTTCAGTTAAGGGGAAGAAACGTAAAAGTCAGCCTGGGACTGAGGTGACTATTCCTTAATGGCTTAACCTTTTGTGCTATATGCCTATGTTTCCTTGAATTATTTATTCTTTTCATTTTCTTGATCCAAAGTGATAAAACACTGCCTTTTCAGATTGTATTGTCGAGCTAGTGTAATTTTCCTTCCCATGCTCTGCTAATTACTGTTTACTAAGATTTTATTACATTGTTTCTACCGTTTGGTTCCATTCGAGTATTTTTTGCAATTTGCCAAATGGAATGTTGTCTTCCATGTTCTAGTTCATTTCTTGAGATTATGGAGGGCCCAAAACTCGTATTTGCAATCCTAGCAGTGTCGCATTGGATGGGAATGTTTTCCCTTGGTTGTAACCTAGTAACCTACCTTTCTTTAAATGGCTACTCCCTTCTCTGGGACAAGTCAAAGATCTTCTTTCCTTTTCCATTTTATAAGGATGGTTCTACCATTTTATCTCTATTTCCACATCTTAAAAGAAATATTGAGCAATCCATGCAGATGTGTTTTCTAAACCGATCCGAGAAACTGGAATTCATTTTTCAGACATCAATAATAATGACATTCAACAAAAAATTACTCACAGCTGAATGTGTCAAAATAAAGCACCGAAAATGTTGCATACTTAATGTCAAAGTGTTGGAGCTATCATACTACCAGTATGAATTTATTACCCACCCATCCTTAATGCCAGCAACTCATAAATTCAACGTTTTAGCTATCTGCTCTAGCAAGCTAAGAGACTGACACACCACTGTGCTAATCTTGTAATATATTTATTGCTATATCTGAAGATTCAGGAAAAGGAAAAAAGATCATCACACAGTCTACTAGTGTTGCAGTTTCCTTTGACACTGAAGAAGCAACTTGTGGATGATTGGGAGTTTGTCTCGCAGATGGGTAAGGTATTTAGTTCTCTGTCTGTGTTTCCTTTCATTAGTGTCTCATGTACCATTTGGTGTCTCCTAGACTAAATATTACAATGTTTTGTGTTAATTGGCATGGAATTTCAGCAGCCTCATGTGGCAAGCTCATTCAGAAAAAGACTTTGTAATTCCATGTATTCCAATTATTTTGAATGAAAATCCAGCAATTTGTCAACCCTTGTGGTGACCATTTGAATATTACAGAAATTCGCTGAACTGGCAGTCAAATAAGAAATGTCTGATTTGTCCATGCAATATGATCCAAAGAACACACTCCATATTTATTTATTTCTCCAAAGCAACAAACCTCAAGAACGATTTGTCCGTGCAATAGGATCCAAAGGAACACTGTAATATTTGAGCTTGGATTCATTTTTTTCTGGACCCACTGATAAATAGGGAATTTGTATATCAGCTGAAAGAAAACAAACTAATCTTAGTGATAAACTGATCTGAACACCAGATGAAAGTCTTCTTCAAAATAGAAAACCATATTTGCTTCCCAATTTTTGTTCAACACAACTACCTGAGATTTCATTGGCCTGCAGCTTGTGAAGCTACCACGATCACCTACTGTTGATGATATTCTAAAGAAGTATTTGGAGTACCGGGCAAAGAAGGATGGCAAGTGAGTGTTCTATTGCTGACATGAATTCTTTTTCGATATGCAATTTTGCTCGTGGTCTAGTGCAATAGCCTTACCTGAACCATGCTCCCTTTTGTATACCATTATATAATTCAAATTTACTTATGCGTAGCAGCAAGGGTTGTTTCCATCAGATTGTTGACTGCAAAGCTGGCTCCTGCCCCTGCAAATTCCTTTTCCAGTTAGACAGCTTTCTTTCATTAGTTTTAGCAATACTTTTATAGCCAGTTGGATGTCCTTTGCTGTTTGATTGTATTGTTGTTACCATGTAACCGAAACAAATATAATGTTTAGTATGTCATGGCATTCGCTTTAGTCATGCTAACAATGTTAACATATATGAACATTAGTTGGCTGTTGGATTGAATAATCTCAATTACATCAATGAATGTGATGATAGCTTAAGCTATAAATTCCAGTTTGCTTATTCATATTGATAGCTATGATTATGCTTTTACTTTTTATTATGCATTGTGCTACAGTTTTCCTAATTCCATTTTATCCCACTTGCCATTTATCTAGTTTTTTTCAGTCCCAACGGCATCGTCGGGCTCATTAAGGACATGTACAACAATGTTGTGACTAGTGTTCAACAAGTGATGGAGACACGGATGACTTCCCGATTAGGATAGGACTACATCAAGGGTCACTTTTGAGCCCTTATCTATTTGCCTTAGTGATGGATGAGGTCACAAGGGACATACAAGGGGACATCCTTGGTGTATGCTTTTCATGACGATGTAGTGCTAGTTGATGAAAGCCGGACAAGAGTGAATCGAAACTGGAGTTATGGCGGAGACTTTGGAGTCCAAAGGTTTTAGACTCAAGAGAACTAAAATGGGTATATGAGATGTGACTTCGCACTACTACTCGGGAGGAGGAAGATATTAGTTTGGAAGGTCAAGTAGTGCCTAGGAAAGATACCTTTCGATATTTAGGATCAATGCTACATAGAGACGGGGATATTGATGAAGATGTTAGCCATAGAATCAAAGCGAGGTGGGATGAAGTGGCGCCAAACATCCGTGTCCTATGTGACAAAAGGGTACCACGTAAGCTAAAAGTCAAGTTTTATAGGACGGCGATTAGACCTGCTATGTATGTTGTATGGTGCGAATGTTGGCCTCACGAAAAAGACGACATGTTCAATGATAAGTGTCATGAAATGCGTATGTTATGCGTTGATTTGCGGTCATACAAGAAGGGATCGAGTTCGGAACGATGATATACGTGATAGATTAGGGGTAGCACCAATTGAAGAAAAGCTTGTCCAACACCAGTTGAGATGGTTTGGACATGTCCAACGGAGACCTCCAGAGGCACTAGTGCGTAGTGGAATCTTAAGCCAGGATAGTAACGTGAAGAGAGGCAGAGGAAAATCGAAGTTGACTTGGGTAGAGGCAATAAAAGGAGACTTGAAAGGATGGAATATACCCAAAGACTTAGCCTTAGATAGGAGTGCTTGGAAAACAGCTATTCACGTGCCTGAACCTTGATTGCTTCTGCTGGGTTTCAACTCTAGCCTACCCCAACTTGTTTGGGACTTAAAGGCTTTGTTGTTGTTGTTGTTGTTTTGTTTCATTTTGGTTGGTTGTCAGTACCAGCATTGTTTGGCTCTTCTATTGTTATAGCTTTTCTTTGTGTTGAAGGATAAATGACTCCTATGCTGAGATTCTGAAAGGATTACGCTGCTACTTTGATAAAGCATTGCCTGCAATGCTTTTATATAAGAAAGAGCGTGATCAGTATGCTGAAGAAGTTAAAGGTGATGTCTCACCATCAACTGTATATGGAGCTGAGCACCTATTGCGCCTTTTTGGTATGTCCAATTGTCCACTAAATGAGTTCTTATGTGTTTTTTGTTTATTCTTCGATCATTTCTTTCTGCTTGTTGAAATGCTCTCGAAGAGGTCAGAACAATTATGTTGGTTATATTATCAAATTGTTTGTTTTTCCAGTAAGGTGTTTATTCTTTTCATTTTCCCTGCTACTAGTGTGAGCCCATATTTCTGTTCAGGACCCATTTGCAAAATAGAATTCAAATTGGGAAAGTGAGAACTTTCTGAGTTCTGACTTTTTTTCCACCACGGCCAAAGCCGAATTTCATTACTTGAAAGCAACAAAATTACAACGACAATAAAACTCAGCGAGCCTAAGCCACGTTGAACTGAACACAGAGGGTTCATCCAACTGGCGCACCCCAAACTACGAAAGCGAAGAGCGTTTAAATCGCAATGAACAACGTTACCCACAAAAAAGCATCCAACCATGTGCTGATATTGCAGTGTTCTGACTTAGTGCTAAATATGAAAAAAATCATATTGATTATGCTATGGCTGCTGATATTGCAGTGTTTCTTTTCCCACACGTACTGTATATCTTGCTCACTGGTAATGTGGCCACTGCTATTGTTACTGTAATCTTGCATAACATGCCTTTGAATTTTGCACTTAAGCCCGTGGGATCATCTTCATGTGTCCTTAGAGGGTTACAAGGTTTACAGCGTGCTGAGAGGCAGTCCAGAGATGTTGATGGCTGAATGTGAAGGGACTTGGGAGAGGGAGATAGGCATAGGGACTAGAGTTGGCTACTAACTAGTTTGATATTTTTCTTGCTTCCGTTGGGATCATCTTCACGCGTCTTTATTTGGTTACAAGGTTTATACTGTGCTGAGTGGTAGTCCAGAGATGTTGATGGTAGAAGGTGATGGGACTTGGGAGAGCGAGATAGGCATAGGGAGTAGAGTTGGCTACTAACTAGTTTGGTATTTTTCTTGCTTATTAAGTCCAAACGGTAATAAGTGGCCTCCTTATGATGCAGGAGAGCCTTAAGTGTATGGAGGGGAAAAAAAGCAAAGTGGTCTGCCATCCTCCAAATTTCCAGTTAAAAAATTCGATCTCCACTGGAAGGGGTAACAGCTAAAATGCTTCCGAAGGTCCACTTTTTGAAAACAAATATATACTTTCGAAAACAACTGGCGCACCCCAAAGTAAACTGAAAATAAATAGAAACTTTTGAAAATTAGGTTTTCCCTAAAATATATTTTGTTTGTCATGGTACTACTAAAAATACATACTTGAAATTTAGAGAGTAGTATTCTAGTAGACTGATCAGGTTTTTTTTTGAGTCTTTTGTGTTCTTTATTTAGGCGTTTGAAACTTTGAATGAACTTTTGAACACGGAAGGTCCACTGCTGAAGTGCTGATTGGTAATACATGATGATGTGTGGGTTGGTGGGAAATAATCCCTAGATCAGATCCCCTTCCTCTTGATGAATGATGGGGATCTTTATGTGCTTTGTCATGATGAATGTACCATGTTGATACAGTAATTAGCCCACAAGGCTTCAGTTCAAGAAGACAACCCAAAAATTACAAACATGACAAAGTTGATTTGTTCTTCAGCACACAATATTCCTATCTAGTAATCTAATGGCTACTATAATTGATATATCTTGGTTATGTTAATATGGCTATTACCCAAGCATGTTGAGTATGGAACCATGCCCTTGTTTACATAATAAAATATCTTAAATTGCTGACTTGCAAGTTTGCAGTGAAATTGCCAGAGTTACTTGCTTTTGTCAATATGGAGAAAGATGCGCCGAACAAGCTACAGATAAAATTGCTGGACATTCTCAAGTATGCATTCTTGCTTCAGAGTTATGCTTGCCAACCTTTTTTTTTAACTTATCATTCCGATGGGTTTTCTGTCAGGTTTATTCAGAAGAATCAGAGCACCTTCTTTACCACTGTGTACTGCGATGATGGTCGTAAAAGTGCAGATGGGGCTAAAACCAAATGACTGCATCTGAACGTTTTATATTATGTAACATCTTTCGATGGACTTGTAGGTGATAGTCTGGTGCTGCTGTTGATATGGATGTCGCTTAGGACTGTGGCGCATGAACGTTGATTGCTCTACAATCAGTTTATGTAGGAATGTAGGATAGATGCCGCAGATGCCTGAAAGACAGTACTTGAACTGCCCTAAGCATGTTGTATTTTCTTTAGATGTTGGAACTAAGACGGCTGGAGTTGTCTTTTCACTATCAAGTGAGTCTCGGTCTTGCCTCTCCAAAAGACTGTTGCCTTTACTCGATAAAGTTTTGGCCAAGGGCCTTTGCAGATGCTGTTTTAGGGTACAATTCTGCCTAAAACATTATGCTAAGCAGACTAAACCAGAACTGTATGTTTCAAGCCAATTGCTAATTGGCTTAATATTCAAGATTACTCGTTGGATGGCGATTGGCGAAGCTCACAAATATGTGTGTCTACACCTTAGGTGGCTTCAACAGCATGAAAATGGCTGGCTAGAGGGGTACAAATAGCACACAAGTAGTCCAATGGATGACCGTTGTGTTAACTATCGTATCATTTGGCGGGCATCGTAACATAGAATGCCTCTTGCACATCCTGACCATCTCTGTATTGAGCAAATAGTATAGTGGATCTTCACGGGATAAACCGGTGGCCTCGGCGGCGGCTGCCTTAAACTTCACTTGGACTCTGCAGGCGGTGATGAAGCAAGCGCGCCCCGGAGTGAATATGGCCGTCGGCGGCGGTGTCTGAATCCACCTTCTTGACTTCTTGTGAACTACTTAGTACTACGTAGAAATGTGGGAGAAGTTGAGATGGTATGTGCATTTGCCAGGTTCACGGAGCCAGCTCAGGGTAGCCGACGCAGCAGGGGGCGCAAGAAGCAATCAAATCAGTTTGTGCTGCAGATTTGTTATCTGAAATCTCACTGCAAAATGACTTGAACTGCCGCCACTCAAAGTACATCCCACGTAGGTACAATTCACGCCTACTTGTCAGCCTACCTGGTTCGTCGTCTAGATTTCCATCAAGACGACGCAGACGGCAGACGCACGCAAGCTGCTTACAGCAGCGAGAGCCCAGCAACGAAGGAGACCCCGGTGGCCGGCAGCCAGGACGCGCCGTCGATGAAGCGCGCCACCGTGAACCTCTCCGCCTCCGCGGTGCTGTTGATGACGCGGTGGCCGGGCCACGGCACGCGCCCGGCCACCCCCGCGCCGGGCCCGTAGTTCATGTACTCGCCGAAGTAGAGCCTGTCGAGTGCGTCGGGAGTGCCGGTGGCGTTCCACTCCAGCCACCCCTGCGGCGGCACGTGCGGGCCGATGTACGACAGCATCACCACCACCCTGGAGAAGGGCTTCCATGGCCGGCCCAGGTACGTCGGAGGCGCGAGGAGCAGGTCCGGGGCGGGCGACGGCGCCGGCGACGCGGTGGCAGCCGTGGGCCCTTCCAATGCTGGCCCGGCCAGGAGGCGGCAGGCGTGGAGGACGATGCCGGTAAGCTGGCACGACTCGTTCCGGCTCTGCGCGGTGACGGTGTTCTTCTGTCCCGGCAGCGGCACCCGCGCCCAGAGGTTGCACCGCTGCAGCACGGCGGCGGCGTTGCCAAAGACGAAGTCGACGGTGCCGTAGACGTCGCAGTCGCGGTAGAACTGGCGGTTGGAGTGCGCGTACAGCGTGTCCTGGTACCCGGCGATGCTGCAGCGGTGGACGACGGCGCGGTCGGCGCTCACGCGCAGCGCCACCGCCTGCTGCCTCGCCGGCCCCGCCCGGTTCTCCACGGTCATGTCGCGCATCATGAACCCGAACCCGGACGCGGCTGCACGTCCATCAAGCGCCCCAACATGTTACATGCATGTGGGATCGATCAGATACGTTGTTGTTGTTGTATTGTATGTACCAAGACAAATGAAAAAGACCGTGACAATGACATGTAGAGGCACGCAGCATGGCACAGAGAAATGCGTGGCAGAATTGCAGAGCGATCGAGGGCGACGTGACATTGTCGGTCGTCGCAGCATGCAGCAGCCAAGCGCCGGGCACCCCACATCACCGGGCCATCGTCAGTCAGCCTATCTCCGGCAACAACACCCAAAATATAAGATTCATTTATCCTTTAGGCAAAAGGTTCAATACATATTCGGCATCTTCTTCAACAACGAGACTAAAAAAAAAAAGAATCCTTTCTGTAAATGGGTTTCTAGAAGAGAGGATGTCCATATTTAAGTTGTGCCTCTCAGTCAAACCAAAATAGTTCTCCCATATAGGTACTCTGTTGGAACTAATTTTAGATTCTTACTATCTATTTTGAGTTTGGATGTCTATAGCTTCGTCGTTAGAGAGAGTCTTAAAGGCCGCTACTACCCCAAACCAACTGGCAACTGTACCATGTCGTCCCCATGTACAAACAGAGTATGGGCATTACTGCCGCACATTTCTCCCATCGGGTCTATTTCACAAAACTCACCAACCTTTCCAAGTTCATGAAATTTCATTTACTCGGTAGATCACTTACTGCCACTTCACTTCCAAACGATCCATTTCAGAAAGCTTACCAACTTCATGAAACTTTCAGAAAGCTACTACTTACAAGTTATTGTAACAGAGAAAATGCAAGCTTTGAAGGATACTTCTAAGCTTTCGATTCCGTTCAAAAATCTGTTTTTATGAAAGTGAGAATGAAAATGATCGTAAAAGTTTGATTCTGGAATCACTAGTGTAGTGCGAACTGTGGAGGAAGAAGAATCGTGCATGGTGTCACGTACCAAAGGTGGCGGTCCGGAAGGTGGTGTAGTTGTCAGCGACGCTGCGGTTACCGGCCACGACGGTGACGCCCTTGCCGTCACCGACGAACACCAGGTTGGTCTTCTTCATCCCCACGTTGACGTTCTCGTCATACCGCCCCGCCTTGACGTGTATCACCGTCCAGCGCTCGCTGCACTCGGGCGCCGCCTTGACGGCGTCGGCGATGGTGGCGTGCGTCCCCGTGCCGTCCTTGGCGACCACAATGTCGGCGCTCCCGGCCAGCGACACCGCGGGGGCCAGCAGCAGCCGCCGGTCCCTCGCCGGCAGCCACCGGGGGAAACCGCACGGGCCCTGCCGTCTCGCCGTCTCGTTCTTGCAGCTGCTGCGGACGAGGCCCGCCGCGCCGCCGGCCTCCTCGGTTGTTCCGGTGGCGGTCGCAGCGGTGGTGGACGATGCGTACATGGCGAGGCTGTCGCGGACCACGCCGCGGGCGGCGGCAAGGTGCGCGTGGAGAGGCGCGCCTGTCCTCCGCGAGGCTGTCGGCGCAGGTGTCGTGGTTGGTGAGCGCGGCTGAGAGCCACGTGAGCGCGTCGCCGCGGTCGGCTCGGGGCGCCGCCCTCGCGCCGGCCAGGAGCTGGAGCGCCTCGTCCAGCAGCTCCACGCAGTCCTCCCGGGCGACCGTGGCGAGCGGCGACGACGAGGAGGAGGCCGCCGGCGTGACGGTGACGGCGGCCAGCGCGCCGAGCGCCTCGCCCACGCGCGTGGCGGCGGCGTCGAGCGTGACGCGCAGGCGCTCGTGGTGGCGCGCCACTGCATGCGCCTTGGCCACGGCGGCGGCCGGGAACGCGAAGACCGGGCTCGGCGGGGCTGCGTGCGCGCTGCTGCTGCACCTGCACCCGGCGAGAATGAGCGCCAGGCAGGAGAGGATGACGAGGAGAGGAGGCGCGCCGAGGTGACGGGCGAGGAGGTGGTGGTGGTGGTCCATGCTGGCGGATGATGGCGCGCTCCTGAATCCTGATCGGAGAGCACAGAGCAGGGGTGGCTAGTGAATGTGCTCGCACCGGCCTTGGGAGATTCCGTTCTCCCTTTCTTTTTCCGTTGCTGCCAGGGTTCCGTTTATAGGCTTATAGCAGCAGAAGCAGCAGAGTGTGGCTACTCGCAAGGAGCAAGCGGCGCCAGGGCGGGTGGCGCGAGTGAATGAGCCTGCACGAGTTGGAGCTTGCCACTCCCGGAAAGCGCGTCGGCGCGCGCTCTGCCGCTGGTTTTTCTTGTTCGGGAACGGGGTCGGGGGTTGGGCTGGACGCGTCGGCCGATCGATCGGCGGCCTGGCGCGTCTCGTGGTGCCGCCGGCGCGTTCAAGGGTTTCGGCATCACGAAGTTCCTGCGTAGGCTCCTCGTCCAGTCGTCCGTTTCCCGTTCCAGGTCTTGTGCTGCCTTAGCTCAGTGCGTTTTCTGCAGTGTGGTTCCAAAGGCATGGGCTCAGGTGGTGCTAGGTTGGGTGTTTTAGGGGCCGTTTGGTAGCGCTCCCGGAACCGCTTCACGTCGTCGCCAACCAAACGGGTCTTCACCGCTCGGCTCCTTGGAAGAAGCCCCGGAAAACGCGTTGAGAGGAGGCACGAGACAGAGCCGGACCTAAAAATACTGGCTTCCTCCGGCTCCTCCGTCCAGGAGCGTGGGCCCTCCCTAAACTGCCCTTCCTCCAAGCGTGGGCGAGGCGGAGGCAGCCTGAGCAGACGTGCCAGAGCTCGAGCGAGGTAGAGGCGGCGGAGAAGCCAAGCCGGAGTGCCGGCGAGGCGTAGCCAGCCGGGCGAGCTCGCCGGAGCGCGGGTGAGGCGGTGGCGGCTGGAGGAGACGCGCTGGAGCCTGGGGGCCGCTGGGGCGTGGAGACTGAGGGGCGCGGGGGCGCGCGGCTACCGGGACGTCGTGGCTGGCGGGGCACGCGGCCGCCGAGGCGAGAGGACGCGCGGCCGCCTGGAACCGTCGGGGCGCTGGATCTTCAGGCGTAGCAAAGCTGAGGCCAAACGGATCTTGACGAGCGGTTAAGGATAAAGAATGAAGAGAAAAAAAAAGGAAAAGAAAAAAGTAATAAAGGAAGAAAAAAAGAAAATAAGAAAAGGGCATAATGGACATTTTATCCTTTTGGACTATCCAGTGAAACTGTTTTTGTCAAACGGTCTTAAAAAAACTATTTCAACTCCCGGAGTAAATCTACTTCCTAGATAAAGCCACAGCTAAAACTGTTTTACCGGGAGCCGAAGCCATTACACTGCAACTGGTTCCGTGAGGGCCGGAGTGAGTGACCGCTGTTTCATGTGGTCTGGGAGCTACCGGAAACAGCTGCACCTGCATTCCCTGCATCTTCCTACCTAGTACCTGCACAGTACCATGCATAGGAATAGGAGTACCTTACCATACAGCCATACATGAAATGCCATGGCAAGGGAAGGGCCCAAATCGGATCCTGTGCTTCCTGTTTCACCGACCCTGGCAACTTTTTGGCATGGCAGACACGGTGGCCAGACCGAGGAAGCGATGAGTGAGGACGAACTCTGCCATCTGGGCACAGGCACGTCGACCGGCAACCGGTCCAACTGGTTCTGACCTGACCTGGAGCCGACCGGGGCCGAGCAAGAAGCAGCCACATTGGCCCAACCGGCCAAGGGTCAAGAGTGAACCAGCATGAAAACAGGAACGCAAATAACACCAACAACGAAACTAGTGCCACCTCATCCACTATAAGTAATCATCACATGCCTAGAGTAACGAGTTACCGGCAGGAAGCCAACATAGTACCAAGTTATAGAGCAAAAAAATGTTCATCGCCACCTCATCCTTCAAAATGTACCATCACAGACCTAAAATAGAGGTCAAGAACATGTCAAAGGCAACGAACAGTAGAGAACATCAGCTTCCAAGTGGGCAGATAAGAGGCAGAAACCTGAATTCGTAATTGCGCTACTGACCCATGGGGCAACATCCCTGAACTACCATCACAAAAATGATACTACAGCCTCCTTTGGCACGGCTCATCTAAAACGGCTTCACCGGTGAAGCCAAAGCCAGTGAAACCAGAAAAACTGGCTTTTTTGGCTTCTAGTTCATTTTAACCCTGACTTACAAAACGGCTTCACGCTACAGTGCATCGATTTGTATAAAATAGATGAAGCCGAAGCCGGCATAAGCCGTGCCAAAGAGGCTCTACATCTATAAGGGTTCCACCTTTGGCTCCCAAAAATTTTGGAGAACACATTATTGCTTGGACCCCTAATCATTTCATCCCATATTTCCCCAACAACATACAATACCTAGTGAAAGTGGCGGCTAACTGTTTCTATAGACCTTCTAAAGCTTTGGCAGATGACCCTAAACCTTTGGTTATAACCAACTACATGGAGGAACATGGAAACTTGTTCCTCCACACTAGCATTGATATTGTCTTGGACCAAACCCCTCTGTTTAAATAGGTTGCAAAGAAAAAAGAAAGATACTCTAGTCATCCTTAGGTTATCTCCAACAACAACACCCAAAATACAAGACACATTCGTCCTTTGGGTAGCGCTACAGGCAAAATGTTCAATACATATTCGGTATCTTCTCTAACAACAAGACCCAAAAGAGAATCCTTTCTGCAAATGGGTTTTTAGGAGAGAGGATGCCCATATTTGGGTTGTGTCTCTCAGGCAACCTAAAATAGGTCTCCCGTATAGGTACTCTGTTGGAGGCTGATTTTTGGTCTCTTGCTACCTATTTTGGGTTTGGGTGCCCATATGGGTTTCTTATTGGAGACAGTCTTAGCATGGCCAAACACTCTATGTCAGTTGAGTTGTATATCAATTGGAGGTTCTTCTGTCTATGCTAATCAGCAGCAAACCTAGATCCATACACTATAGGTTTATTATCCCTCCTGACCCTCTTCATCCTGATAGACAAGAAAGCTACCCCAACAACAACCATAGCTGCAACCTGTGAGGCCATAACAGACCTAGTTTGTTGTGCATCCATCTACATAAAGCATTAAAACTTACCAATTTGAGAACTCAGGCGCCTTGTTGGCTTCCTACTGTGCAGCACTATTTTAGAGGTCATCAAATAGTGGGCAACAAGCTATAGCAGCGACTGCTTCAAAGATAGAAGCGCTGCTACACCTTGACATCATCGACAAAAAAAGAGATAGGGAAACAAACAGGCCCAAGCACTGACATCAACAAGTGATGCACAAAATCAACAACCATCGCCATAAAACCGGTAATAAGAGGAGTAGTAAACCCTAGAACAACAAAATGAATCAACTAAGCAAGTATGATGCGGGCATGAGCAACAACAACATACAAAAAGGCTAGATCTACATCATCGTACTACCAGAAACATACAATTGGGTACAAATTGGCACATAACAAAGCAAAACAGTATGAGATGTAAATGAAAATAGTAGACTAAGCATGGTCCGTAAGCACAGAGAACCCTAACAAACTAGTAGTACATGACATCACTGGCGCAACCATAGGAGGGGTCAACTTCTCACTTACCTTGCTTCAAACGAGGGGGGAGTGAAGAACAGGATGAAGCTAGTGATGGGGAAGCAGATTTGGCGTGGTGGAGCACTGAGCACTCCACCCATCAGCAACGTGGAGAAGGGAAGAAGAACTGCCCTGCTTGTGCTACTGTTGAAGACATAGTAGGCGAGAAGGCTTGACACCGTCGGCAAGGCGGAGCGGCAGAGGCCCCAAACCTCCGCAACGACGCCATGCTCCACCAACATCACCACCAGTCACCAGTCACCAGTCACCAAAATAGAGAAGGGAGAAAGGAGGCGGAGTAAGCGGAGGAGACGACGACCACGTAAAAGGGAGGCGAAACCCTAAACACGCGGGAGGAGAGAATTTTCCCATGGAGCGTGAGCCTGCTAGCACCACCCGCGTGGAGGGTGAAATAGCCTCAATTTTTTTAGCAAAAGAATCGGCCTTCATTATAATTAGCATAAGAAGTACAGATTCCATCAGGAGGCGAAACAAACCAAACATATTTTCCTACCAAAAAATTAACATAGCTCCTAGCTACACAATGAGCATCAAAATTGGAGCATCTTCATTCATGGACGAACTCCACTCTTGTGAATCCATCCTTCCTGCTCTTAATCTCCTGAATGATAGGGCCATGTGTCCCAAAACCTTGTCCATTGATGCTCCATACTGCATTGATGCAGTCACTCGCCACCCGAAAATTGGAGACCAAGGTCATTGGCCAATGCCAAGCCCTCACGGCACGCCACCACCTCAGCTATTTCCATGTCAGTGCATCCCTCTAGAACCAGCAACAATGCACCCAGGAAGTTGCCTTCTTCATCCCTGGCCACAACGACCACCGAAGCCATGCTCGAGTTCTTAGAGATTACGGCGTCAACATTGATCTTCTCAAAACCCCTTGGCGGTTGGATCCAACGCACTGGTGGACTCCCCACCGTCGGCTTCTCCTTGTTCTTCGGCGTAACAGATTCCAACTCATTAATGAAACGCTCCACAAAGCTATGAGTTAAAATGGGCTCTAGAATTGGTTCTCGTGCAACGCCTGCCGTTGCGCATACCAAATGGCCCAGAGTCAAACCACCACCCTTGTGAGCTCCTCATGCTTGAGCCCCTTCATCACTTCAACTAACCAAGCTCTGCATCCGGCATTTCTATTTGACATATGAACTTCGTGATCTCCTCCCTCTCCAAAGCCCCCCACACTTGGCTAGATTGCACTCTAGAAGCGCATGCCTCCAAGAATCCATGCCACCACATAACATGCAACCCCCATTAGGCGCCATGTTCCTGCGGTGTCGCACATCCCCGGTTGGGATGGATTGCCTTGCTAAGTGTCACAAAAAGACATAGATCTTCGATGGAACTTTGATTTTCCATAGATCACTCTATTCTTTCTCCTGTGCCTTCATATCTGACCGGCCGGGTCTCTCTTCCACCCATTCTGATGTTGACTTCCACTTCC